GGATCGAATCTTCCTTCAGCCCTCTTCAAATTCGGGGGCCCTGCTCTTGTTGATTTACACGAATTATTAGCGAAACGGTGGGAACAGGAAACTGTCCCAAACGACTGAAACCGTTCCGTTATTGTCCCAATCTTCATAAGACGTTGACATTCGGAATGGGGCAATCACAGAGGAATCAGCCTGATCCCCATCGCCCTTAAAATACTTGTCTCTGTAAGTCTTCACAGACTGTCTGGCACACGTGAGATCCATATTCATGAGCAGCAAGCCGGGTTTTGTCGATATTGACATATTCACTGTGTGACAGTTGGTGGAGTAGCGTTACATATATTGGCCGCCCACCGTTGTCGTGTTCCTCGAGATCAAAGGTGCCTTCGATTCGGTAGATTGATGTGCACTTAGGGACTGTCTCCTAAGGGAAGGCGTGCCCGAGACACACACACTATACACGTTAGCTAGAGGTGGGAAAGACCATAGCTACTGTGCCGCAATACTTAACAGAAAAAAGGGAGTAAAATGCAACAGGTGCAAGCCAGCTGAGCTACCGGTAACGGATGGGTATCGTTCCGGTAAGCTACCAGCCGGCTACTATGCAGCAGAAAAAATAATTTACTATGCAAAATTATAAAATGTTATGTAATGAGATCGTAGTTGGGAGGCTAAGAGAAATGGGGTGGGACAAAGAAACTCACAGCGGGAACGCCAATGAGGACGGCTCCTAGCCATATCAACAAGTGTACCCAGCCAGACGTGTTCATCGTCTTTCGGACCCCACCCAGGGAGCTGAGACGTTCCAATTGAGGCCAGGTTCGAAGTGAGGGCCTTCATCCCTCTCGACTAAGTCATCGCTTGGCCATCCCACCACTTCTTCCATCCACATCGCCGGCGCGCAAATAACGCACGTCGCGGGAGTCGGTGGGCTAGCATGCGTAACACGTGGCCGAGCCATCGGAGCCTGATGCGGGTGCCCGAGAACTATGTGAATATTGTGCAGGAGATTTACGCGCGTAGCTCGGGCAAGCTGTCGCCTCCCTCCAATATCTCCAGCGGTGTAAGACAAGGATGCCCGCTGTCACCTTTCCTCTTTAGCTCCACCATTGATAAGTCATGGAGATAGCTTTCATAAAACATGTCTTAGAAAGTATGAAGTTCCCGGCAAAAGGAGTTCTCGACTTGGAGTATGCTGATGATATTGCCGTCATCTGTGACAGTTCACAAACTTGTCAAGCGGTTCTGAACAGATTGGCACTGGCTGTCACCCGTTTCGAGCTACGCTTTGCACCCTCGAGGTGCAAAGCTTTCCTCCAAGATTGGCAGGGGCCACTTCCCGCGCTGAGCATTAGTGGAGATCAACTAGAAGTCGTTCAAAAGTTCAACTACCTAGGTAGTTGTACAGGCGTCGCTGGAATTAAAAACGAGGTCACAAACCGTACAACTAAAGTATAAGACGCTTTTGATAACCCTCACCACCTATGGCGCCGGTGCGACATCACTCTCACATTGAAGGGTAGAGTGTACCATGAAGCCGTACGTTCGACGGTTGTGAAACTTGGCCCATTAGATCAGCTGATACAAAGAAGTTAGTTACGTTCGACCACCGACACCTTCGCAGTTTGGATCATATCTGGTGCGGACATTGTGTGAGCAAGGAGCGTGTTCGACGCCTTGTTTATGGCGTAGAAATAAGAAGCGGACCGCTCAACAATGTTATTCCATGCACCAGGCTCCGGTGGCTGGGTCAAGTGTTGCGCATGCCAGCCCATCGACTCCCGGACGTGCGTTGGTTGCGCACCGGGGTTGCGGATGGAAGAAGAGGGATGTCCAAGCGATGACTCGGTCGAGAGGAAGGAAAGCCCTTACTTTGAAGTTGCCCTCGTTTGGAGCCGAACGACGATGAACACGTTTGTCTGGATACACTTGGTGACATGCATATAAGCCGATCTCACTAGCGTAAGTTGTGTGTTTCTTTGTCCCTCCACTTTCTGCTTAGTCTCACTCTCCAAACATGATCTCATTTATTAGGCGTAATATAACGCCTTTTCTGCGACACAATAGCCGACTGTTAGCGTTCCGGAGAGATGTCCATCCGTTACTGGTGACTCAGCCGGCGCGCCTCTGTTGCATATCCTTTTATTCTGTATTTCGGCACTAGACCTGAGGTGATTTACAGTTGTAGTTAATGTGCATAACGAGGGAATGAACGGGTTTGCAAGCGCCATGAGGAGTCACTTGTTAAACGCAAGTCCAAGGGTGTTTTCAGTAGACTGAAGACGACAATAACGACGACAACAGTGTGAGGTGAGTTGTTTAGGCGTGTGCATTGTGCCTGAAGCAGCATACAGCTTAGCATTATTTGCTATGCATTATCAACCAATGGGTCCCAGCGCCACTCAACAGAGACAAAATAACGATGGGAGAATATTCGCGCGTGAATGGCGCTAAACAGAGTTGCTTTCCCAATCCGAAGGCGCGATGGTCACACCTATGGTGGGTAGAGCGGTAAGACACACGCCGCGGCTTTGAGCATCCATGAGTCAACTAACGCACCAAAAACTAAAAAAGACAAGCACCTTGGTTGGGGTGCAGAACTTACTGACCTCTTCGTGTGCAAAGGGCGTCGGTACAGGTTTGCGGAAGCAACCGTTGTGACATTAGGCGAATCTACCCTGCAAAGCTATGCAGCGAACGAGCGAAGTAAAGAGGGTTTTCAAGGTTAAGATAACACCAAGTGTTCACAAGCATGACGCTGTTTGAGGGCTGTAAAAGTGTGTATACGGATTTGATGCATTCACATCAAAGTGGAAATTGCCAGTTTCTGACTTGATAACTATGAAACCCAGTGATCCTGTGGAATATAGTGCTTGCAAAGGGCTCAAAACAAACTAGTGCAGCATGGGAAGTAAGAATCCGCTTCAACTACGCTGCTAATTGTCGAGTTGACTATGGGTCAATTTAATACGAATCACGATCCAGACGGAGATTGCGAGTCGCAATCTAATCAGGCAATGAGCACTACAAAATAACTTAAAAAGCAAGAATGCCTACACTCCACACACATCACATAATCAGAAGGAAGATGGTGTAAAACAGAGACGTATCTTTCGTGGTCACAAAAGTACCTATAGCAGGTACTCTGGAAGTAAAGATGTCCAATCGATGATTATGCACATATATAATGTGATCATTGTTAAGGTTTGCGGTGGCAGCTGGAAGTGTGCACCACGCAAGAACAAATTTGCGTCAGATTAAGCAAGTAAGACGAAATAAAGAGGATAATGCATTAGGTATACGCCAACACTCAGTGCCATCCAACCGCGGGCGATAGCACGCGGGCCGATAAAAGGCAGGGCAGCAAAGCTCGGGCAGGATTAGGAACTCAAGGCCGGGTGGTGCAAGTCAGGTAATACGATATCAATGCCATAAGACCTACTTTAACAGGTTCGCGACACATGCAAGTAATGTTTCGGAAAGTGATAGAAACAACAACAGCCAGGTGAACACAGTAGAAACATTTTCCGCGATTGATACGCTGAGGTAATACGGCGAAAAGAGAGCCCCATCGTTCACTCTTGACTTGTTTCACAAAAGGGCTAAGGAAACTTGCTAACTGATGCTCACCCAAATAGTCGCTGGGAACACGAGTAAATTGCACAAGCGCAAACCGCACGGCCAATGAAAACGATAGGCGGCGCGATTACAACGGCCAATAAGTTTTGAAAACGAAATAGGACGAATCCTTGGGTCCCCACTCATTAAATATTATGTCCGAAGACATCAGGCGTCCGGGTGCTGCACAAATCTTTCAACGATTAATCCACCAAGTTCTTCGAGGACCAGATTTTGCTTTTGCTTATGTCGATGACATTCTCGTGACCAGCTCTAAGCAAGAACATTTCTTTCATCATCGCCAAGTCTGAGCGTTTTGATCATTATGGCGTCACGACCAACGTGGACAAATGTCTTTCGCCAGTAGTGTTGACTTTCTCGGTCATCGAATCGATCGCAACGGCATCAGTCCACTCCCAGAGAAAACAAAGGCAATCACAGAGTATCCGATGCCGCAGTCCTACAAAAGCCTGCGCCATGTCTTCGGTATGGTGAACTATTACGGCCGCTTTATAGCTGATTGCTCTAAATTGTTTAACCTTTAACTGACTTGCTTAAAGGAAAGACTATAAAATTCAAGCCCACGGAGTACTAGACGCTACTGATAAGATTAAACATGACTTATCCAACGTCACTGCGTTAAGCCATTTGAGGACTGATGTTAATACACCTCTCGTCCTTAAAACTGATGCTACACAGACCACAGTTGGAGCCATCCTACAACAACTCATCAATGGTCTTCCAGGACCACTATCTACTTTCTCCCGTAAATCACAGCCTGCACAAACTAGTTATAGTATGTTGGAATAGAACCTTTGGCCATTTATCTCGCCAATAAACACGTTCGATGCCTCCAAAGTCGTCCATTCACCATTCTTACTGATCACAAGCCACTTGCTTTTGTCTTCCGTGGTTCTTCGGACCGTTTCCCCCACGTAAAAACCGACACCTTGATTATATATCGCAGACGCCACTGATAACGTGGTAGTCAACGCAATGTCCAGCACTAGACTTCATGAACTTACGCGTCCGGCAATCGATCCGGAGGAAATCGCTACTCATCAGGAGGAAGATCCTGAGTTTATGCAAATGAAATCGAACCCTTAGATAAAACTTACTCTTCTGCCGCTTCTTACCTCGGATTCCAAAGTTCATTGTGACATGTCTACGGGTAAGCCCAGATCCTACGTTCAACAGTGATACCGCCGTCGTTTTTGATCACCTCCACAGGCTGACATCCAAGCATTCGGGCTACTGTTAAATTGATCACAGATCACTTTGTTTGGCACAATACGCGCTCAGACATCCACCAGTGGGCAAAACACTGTATTACGTGTCAGACCAGCAAGGTCTATCGCCATACAATTACTGTCTGCGGCACCTTTTCGCTACCGGATGCTCGTTTCAAGCATGTCCATTTGACATCGTTGGTCCCTTGCCTCCTTCCAACGGTGTTTAATACTTGCTGACATGTGTTGATAGATTTACGCGCTGGCCACACATAGTGCCATTACGGGATGTTTCCCCTGAAACAGTAACGCGAACATGCATCGAAACGAATTTCTTTCTTTGGCACAGCTGCTACTATCATGACAGAGGTCGCAGTTCACTTCTTCTATGTTCCCTGATCTGAGTCGTTTGCACGGTTGTTTTCAATTGCGCACAGCTTACTATTCTGCAGCCAATGGTCTGGTATAACGCTTCTATCGCCAACTGAAAGTTTTGATTACCGCTTCTCAGTCCAGTACGCAATGATCGCAGCGTTTGCCAATAATCCTGCTTGGCATGTGTAACACTGTCACGGAAGATATAGGCTGTTACCTCGCTGAATTAGTTTTTGGTACGCCACTTAGACTTCCTGGAGAGATGGCACTGAATCCAAGGATCACTGGCTAAGTAGATCCAACCTTGTCACACGCCTGAGGAGTCACTTTAGCTCGGTACGCCCAACAAATCTACGACTCACACTCCGTAACCCATAGGTGCATCCTGATTTTTGTGATTATCTCTAAGTTCTTGTGTGCATCGATCCTATTCGTAAACCTGAGACCACCCTTGTGTTGGGCCGAAATGGTTGCGAAGACTCTGTGAGCATCGATGGTTTGAAACCTGCTTGTATCCAACTTTCCTCGTCGCAGCAACCTAGAGATACTACTACTCCGATGAGTAACCATCGTCGAGCACCCCTCCTACACAGATTATGTGTGATCCAATGTACCTACCTCGCAATCCCCTGCGACACCCACCAAAACTACGCACACATAAAAGCACACGTTTTGGTCGTACAGTGGTTCCCACTGCTAAACTAGCGTTTTACAATCAGATGTACATTTCCAGCATTCGCTGGTCCACTCACGCTCTAGTGGGTGGGGAGTCCTGTAGTGTTCATAGATTTTTCATTTTTTGCACTTTCTCACTTCATTTTTCAATCGGTATTGTGCAGTCGCTTTAATTGACCGCTTTTTCTGGTATACTTCTCTCAACCTTCAACGGCGCACTCTACTTTCTTGCGGCAGTGTGTTGAGCTTGTTTTGTCTGTGTGCCTGGGACATCCGAGCTTCGAGGAACTAACACTGTGGAATATCATCCTCCGACTATTACGTTTGGGAGGGTGGAATATTATCTTTCGACTATTCCGTCAGGGAGTGCGGAATATCTGTGAAGTTAGTCCAGAGGGTCACGCCTAAAGATCAGCGTATTCCTATACTTTATCTGACATTGCTTCTTTCCTTCTGGTGCGGTAGTCCAGGGCTAGTTTTCACTCCATGTTCATTGTAGGGTAACTGAGTGAGCAAACCGACACTGGAAGGCAGTCGGAGGCAGTAATTGGCCTTAACTAGCAAACCCTATCTTCCCGAATACAGAGTAACCGGCTATCCTCAGCTTGATCTCGTAACAAGTGACAGGCCTATGTGCCGAAACGATGGTGGAACAATGAAAAATGCGTTGATCTGCAATCAGATAAGAACAACCCAAAGAACGACAAACGACAACACAACATATAGTGGCCAGAACCACAATATAAAACAGAACTACTGATTTATCTACTGTCCAACTCAAGTGATTTTCCGAATCCCCACTAAATTATGAGGTAACACGAACTATATTAAGTTGTGAAGAAATTGTGAGCAATAACAAGGTGAGCCATGTGCAGAGGCGAAACATCGCACAGCACAAGCGAACCTTATCAAGAACAATGAAATGTTTAGGTTGCATCCCCAGCCGAGTACCTAGTTGTCGGAGTTCCTGTGGCAGAAAGTTCACTGTCAGAACAGGTGAGAACAGATCCAGAATGGGCACTGACCACAGCGGAGTCCCTGTGGGTTCAGTGCTAGGATCGTTGTTTCTTATGTCTAGAAATGACCTGGCCCTACTCGTCGAGAACCCGTGGTATGCTTTGCAAATGATGTAAAGCTTGTCAGTAGGGGAGCTAATGATACGTTGCCTGAAGACCTGGGTACTGTGACAGTGGTCTAAATCATGGGAATGACAAATGTCAGCTGTTATCATCCAGTAACGTTGGATTAAGGTGTAAACATCCCCAGCGTCCCTAACATTTCAATGTGTAGATATAATGAGGGACTTAAGTATCGTTATGGCAGATAGATTCAGGCCAAAGATACAGTGCCAATATGAACTTGTTCGCCTCAAGAGAGCGTTGTGTAACACTAAACCTGAGGTCTTTCTCCTGTTGTACAAAGCGGTGGTTCGGCTGCACTTAGGGTATTGTTTTTAGGCCTAAGCACCCTACTTTCGAAAGGACGTCACTTGCTTAGAGAAAGTACAAAGACTGACCACCAGAATGATTGAAGGCCAGCGCGAGAAATCGTACTTTGATTGCCTGGATTGTTTATTCACTAGAATATAAGGAGCAGACTTGTTTTCATTGAAACAACGCAGACTAAGGGGAGACCTGAGTCAGTGGCATTAAGCCTACCGATCGGTGCGGGTTCGAATCCGCGTAGGGGTGAGCGTCCTCGCGGTAAAATCAGCCCGCGTGCGGCTGGTAGTGATCGCACGGCAGCGAAGCGTCGTTAAAGCATACAGCTGACACATTATCGTTATTATTAGCGTACCAGCCTCTTTGAACTAGCTATGTCGAACCACCTGCGGGGACACCGTCTGAAGCCCATAACGCACAGGTCTAGACTGGATAACGGAGCAAAATTTTTCACTAACCGCGTGGTACGTAGTCGGAATTTACTTTCCTCAGCACTAGTGAAATGTAATCCTATTGAAACCCTTAAAAAACTTAGATATGAATTGGTCCACTGTTTACGGAATTGCGCTATTAGTGGATGCTAATTGGAACCAATAGGATGTCAAGAATAGTTCCATGAAGTTTTGAGAGAGTCCTCTTACTCTTTTTATTCTCTACAGAAGTGAAGCATGAAGATCGAAGTGCCTGGGGCCTTGGTTTTCTTACCGGCACATGCAACGGGACGCTCGTTAGACGAAGCCCTATTTTGTCCTTGAAGACCTGACCTGACCTGACTAGACTCCCGACAGTTGCGTCACATTAAACGGCATGCACAACGAGCACAATGTCAGCTAGAATAGTTCCGTTGGCCGCCTGAGAGCGCCCGCTTCGATTGACTTATGGAAAGCAAAATTTAAGCGTGCTCTATTCATTCAGAACCAGGAAGACAGCAACGGCAGGGAAATCGTTTGTGTGGTTGAACTGCGATCAGCCTTAAGATATAGTTTCTAACTAGCTGCAGATTATCGCCGATGATAGAATCTCTTGAAAAACAGCTAAGTAATCTCAAGCGAAAAAGCCTTGCTATACTCTTCAATATTAACATGCAGAGCAGTTGCGGGGTTGCAGAGCATCACAAAACGCTGCGATAAATTATGACTGCATCGATAACTATGTCAATGGCAATCTAGAACCATTCATGGAATCGAAATCCCAAAGTACTTGCCCATCGAGGTACAGAACGGAATTTCATGCTAGACTATTAGCTTCTCACCTGCATGTGACAATGATCTTTAATACCTTGAATAAATGACCGGCGGTTGTTCTCCTTATCAGACATATCTTTATCGATGTGCTTCATTAAACTTTCTCGTGAGGAGGAGCGCGCGTCGCTCGCCTGTTTAACTTTCACAAGCTAAATCGCATCACGTCAAATCCACTAGGCATACCTGTTTTTTGGCGAGGTTGATCCTTTCAGCTAATGCTTTCTGTCGCCGCTCCACCTTTTTCGCAAGATCCTCCTTTATGTGATCATCCATCTCCATTGAACGGTTGAGCTGTCTCTCCTTCTCTTGCTCGCACTTCGAAACGACCATCTGTACGTATTGTACATTCCTATTCCGAGTTTCCT